TGGAGTACAGTCTGGCTTATGCTGTCCATGGAAGGAACGCTTCCCTGATCCCTGCCTCTCTGCTTCCAGAGCCTCCATGGTTATTCCCTGTTGGAACACTCTTTGAGGAGCTATGCAATGCCTCCTGTCCTTGTCTGTTTCCCCCCTGGGACAGTTCCTGAAGGGCTGGAATCCTTCTTGCTTTATCCCAAGGTCTAGGCATTTAAAAGGAGCCCAGGGGTGCCTGGGTGGCTCAGTCGGTTGAGCGTCCAACTCTTGATTTCAGCTCAGGTCATGATTCCAGGGTCATGGGATCAAGCTCCATGTTGGGTACTGTGCTTAGTGTGGAGCATGCTTAAGATTCTCTCTCTCTCTCTCTCTCTCTCTCTCTCTCTGTCTCTTTCTCTGCCCCTCCCCCACTCTCAAATTAAAAAAAAAAGATCCTAGTAAATACCTGTTGAATGAATAAATGCATAAGTTGATGGGTGAATGAATGATTTCCTTCAGTGGCTGAAGGAACTCTGAGGCTGAGGTTCTCAGCGAAGGCTTTTGTTCTGTCACTGTGGGGCACCACACACTGGCGGTGCTGAGCCAGGGGATGCTTGATGTCCCAGGATAAACATGACCCTCCTTTCTGGAGTAAGATTGGGGAGCAAACTGATTTTTAAATGCTAACACAAAGTTGGCTTTTTTTTTTTTTTTTTTTTGTAGGGGATATTTTCATGAATTTTTGGGATAAGACTGAGATTTGGAGGAAATTTTGTGCTGTGGTAGCCTCTATAGGCAAGTCTTAGATCTGACCCTCCCACCCCATTGTAATTTCTCCTCTGCTGTTGGGGGTGCTTTGGCAAAAAAACTTTGGAAAATGCTGCTTAGGGGAGTAGCTAGAACCCAGGGCACGGGGGCCATGGTGGTGTTCTGGGGAGGGGCTTGGCCAGGAGCAGAGGCCTGAGATTCAAATAGGCTCCAACTCTCTGCTCCCAGGGCCTGGTGAGCAGACACACTGTGAATGGCTTTGGCTTTGAGTGTGCCAATATCAGTTGAAATAAATGCTTCATAGCCACATCCTGAAGTGCCACTACAGCCTCTTGGAAAACCTCACACTATTTTTAGTCCCTGTAGCTCAAGAAAATGCCTTCTCTTTTCCTCCCCACAAGCCAATTCATTGTTGATTTTGCCCGGGTCTTAAAACCCCGTTCTCCTTTTTAGCTATAAGTGAAACCAATCAGCAGTCGGGTCGAATTTCCTGTCCCTTTCTATTTTCATATCTTGTGTTACTTGTTCACGTGGGAAAAATCCAGCCATCTCCCCATGTTGGGCCCTGTGCAACCTGGCTTCGCATGTAGCTGTGTGATTGCACTGAGTCACGGGGTGGGGGGGGCACACGTGAACGGTGGAGCATCAGGACTTAGGGTTCAAGGAGCCTGAAGGTGGCATGACTGGGGCTTGACACAGGGCTTGTTTATCTCATAAAGCGTCTCCAAGGAGAAGAGGAGGAACCAGGGCCTTCCAGGCTTCGAGGAGTGAAAGGGGTGCCTTTCTCCCTCGGAAGAATTCACTCTGATTCAACAAGAACACTAGGAGACGCTGGGCGGTCATGGTCCTTTGCAGTTTATGAAGGCTTTTTTTGCACTGTTTATATGTCCATTACTATGAGCGGGAAACGAACAGAACACTGTGGGAAAACAGACGATGGAGGGGCAGATTCCTTGTGGGGGTCAGGGAAGACTTCACGGAGGAAGGGACATACAGGGCTGGGTCTAAATAAAAAAGAAGAAAGGGAGAGATGTTCCAGGGAACATCACCGGCAGTCGCAAGGAGGTATAAAAGAACACGTGTTGATAAGACTGGGGAGAAGAGTTGACCCTGAATTTGAAGGGCCACATGTGTTGTTGCCGGTGGTGGGAAGCTGGTGTCTATTTTGTAGGAAGTTCACAGTGGAAGCTGAGCAGAGGCCAGAGCATTCTGGAACGTGTAGGGCTCTGTGCTGGGCACAGCATATTGGACTCCTGTATAAGACCATTGACCTGTTATTTTAAAGGTCTTATGACTACAGAGTGGCCAGGTAGGGGTAAGGAAATTTAATTTAATCCCCAAACAGGGGACAGAACAGGTGCCACCCCTCCTTCATCCCATGCCCGTGGCAGGTACTAGTAACCAATCACAGGATCATTCTCATACCACAGTTGAGGAAACAGATAGAGGTGGAAAGGTGGGCCCAGGGCTCCACCAGATAGGAAGCAACAGAGCCAGGACTGCTATCCACAAAGAGAGGGGTAGTGACTGACGGGCCAGGGGTTCAGACGAACCTACGTGTGCAAACAGGTTTTTCCATTTACTGGTTGAGTGTCTACATGGGTCACTTATCTTCTCTGTGCCACAGTCTCCCCAGCTGTAAAATGGGGATAATAAACTCCCTTTATAGGCTGGCTGGAATGGGATATGTTAAGTGTGAGTTCAGAGCCAGACATGTATTACGTGCTCAATAAATGGCAGCTATTAGTAATATTAATGATACTATTGTTTCTCACTGCTGACATACTGTCTTTCTATATATCTTGCTCAACATCCCGCCCTGTCCTCATTGCAGGGGCCCCGTCTTCTCTATCTTTCAACATGCTAACAAGTAGGCTGGGTGGGAAGTTCTTTAAATAGTCATGGTACAGACAGATAGATGCATGCCTGCTTTGACGTCTCTGTTTGATTCTGGGTGGAGCAAGAGGCTGCTTTGTCCTTCAGCAGTAAAGGACGAAGAGGAAACACAGCTGCAAGGGGCTGGGAACTGACCTGGGGTTTCTGTGCAATCACTTGGGTTTCTAAGAAGGGAATTATCTCGGGACCTTAGCAATATTAACACGTGGCCAGCCAGGCAGCTGCCCAGAGCCCCATCTGTAAGAGGGGACACAGAAACCCCACTGGAAATGTCATATGATGAGGCATATTTAACAGAGTTGTTTTCAGGGAAAGTCCTATGAATATTGGAAGATTTTTCTGGATAAGCTCTTTGGGATAGGGAGTGTTGTCAGTGGTGCACGCTGAATATGTAAGATGGTCCCTACACTGGATGGAGACAACTCTCTGGTGAGCTTTCAATTTCCTGGGTACATTTGGGGCCAGAGCTGAATGGTTTAGGGCAGGGGAGGAGAGGCTGAGGACTACCACCTGGGTCCTCCCTGATCTCTTCTGCATTATGGAGGAGTTAGGCTTTTTTTTTTTTTTAATGTTCATTTATTTTTGAGAGAGAAAGAGTACAACAGGGAAGGGGCAGAGAGAGGGGGACAGAGGGTCCAAAGTGGGCTCTGCACTGACAGCAGGGAGCCCAGTGCGGGGTTTGAACTCACGAACTGTGAGGTCATGATCTGAGCTAAAGTTGGTCGCTTAACGGACTGAGCCACCCAGGTGCCCCGGAGGAGTCAGTGTTTAAGGGGCACCTAAATATTTGCCAGCCTGGGGCAGCCAGCTCTGCTTGGTACCTTCCAGGGCAGCACAGGCCTCAGGGCCCAAGGGACTGCTGTGGTCTCTCGACGGAGGGCCCTCCATGGGAAGCGGGAATCCCCTTCCACCAGGGTTGCAGGGGTCTCTGTCTGGAGCCTGGTCAGAAGCAGGAAAACTGGACAGGGGAGGAAAGAGGGGTGCCAGGCACGCATTCTCCTGCTTTGATGTCATTCACCAAGCGTGTGCAGCCCCAGCCCGTACCAGGCAGATGTTGCAGGAAGTGCTGGAGCTCACCTGGTCACGTGAGAAGAAAACAGGCCCCATCAGGAATTCAGGTGGCCCAGGGAAGTGGGCCAGTGAGTGTGTGCCCTGAAGGCCACTGACCCCGAGGCAGAGGCTGAGCCAGTTTCTTGCCAGGATCTGCTTGTAATTTAACAGGCCCGAGGGCTGACCGTGGGCAGGAGGGGTGGCCTGGCCTGGCTCCCCCTCGTGCAAACGCTTCACACTTTACTTCTTGCTGGAACAGCAACCTCCCTGCCACTGTTAAGAACGTGTGATGACTCTAAGCGTCTGGGCGTCCCCATGGGCTACGAGGGCCGTCCAGCTAGCGCTCCTGTTACCTGGACACTCCTAGAGCGAGTGAACTGAGGCCCAGACAACACAGCCAGCACATGCGAAGCCCCTGCTGTGTGTGCCCGGTACCCTATTATTGCCTTGTACTGCACACCATCTTTAATCCTCGGGACAAGCCTGCAGCGTCGGTTGTTAGAGCCCGCATTTCTCCAGAGGAGGAAACTGAGGTTCAGGTTAAGGACTTAGCCCCAGGTTGGCCAGGGACCCTGCCCTGGTCTGGAAAGAGCCTCCCGTGGGTGACCTACAGCTATATCGGTGATGACGGATGAGCCTTCTATTGCATGGAGTGGCCCTGCCTGAGGGGTCCTGGTAGGGTTTGCAGAATCCACCCCTCCTTAGGTCAGAGAACTGGCATGTGTAGTAAGCCCAGCCAGGCGATGGGGTTGTCAGCCTGTTAGGGACCCAATGGGGTTTTGTACACCAAAGTGAGAGGGAAGCAAATACGTGGTTATTCACAGTGCCCAGCAAGGAGAGGGGGTGGGGCCCCTTCACACAGCACCTTGCAGGCTGTTCTCTTCTGGGGATATGGGGGTCTGAAACACCAGGACCATATCTTTCCTTCTGCTTCTTGGGGTGGGGCAGAGGAAGCGGGAGAAGAAAAGGCAGGCCCTGGGCAAGGGTCAAGTACAGAGAAGGGAGGATCAAAAGGCCAACGTGGTATTTGCTTGTCCCATTTGCTTGCCAAAGGCCACGGGGAAGCTGACTGGCAGCTGGGGCACAAAGCCCAAATCGTCCTCAGAACTTAAGTCCTACTGGCATTCTGGAATTCTCCAGGGGGAAAGGGCGGGGGGAAGGGCTTGGATGGATCCTCACTTCTTTCCTAGCCAAGGGAAGAGTGGCCTTCTTGGGCCAGATAAGGCAGATGGCTACCCTGCCCCCTGCACCCTCCGGGAACCCCAACTAGATGATTTCTTGTTTACATCAGACTTTGCAACTCTCTTCTCGTTCTGCAGGCGAAAGCGGAAATTGGAAGGCAAGCCCTGTGATGGTGAGGACTTGAAAATTGCTTCTAATTTCCAAGTGTGTGGCAGAGAGAGAGACAGGTGCGTGATGATTACTGTGTGATTCTGCCGCTTTGTAGGAAAATTAATCCCGAGGTACTTCTTTTAAAAGTACTTTCTCAAGGTTGTGAACTTGATTCTTCTCCACCAACACCTTGTATTTATTTTGAATACTTCTTGGGGACTTTTACATTAAGCTCTCCTAGCTGGTGCTGCTTGCTTTAGCCTAATGTCAATGTTCGGTTTTATTTTCCTGGGACAAGAATGGCAAATATACCTGATTTTTCATGTGCCACCTCAGCTAAATGGGGGGTGGTGACCCGGAGCTCTGCCTTGGGAAGAAATCTGTGGCTGAGACCAGACTCAGCAGGAAATAGTGCTGTGATTGATTAGTAATACCTACCATGGGCATGGAACAGAGGAATGGTAGCACCTGTTCTCTCCCCTATTTGGGGGTTAAATTTCCTCACCGCTACTTGGCCAGTCTATAGCCATAAAACTTTTAAAATAAAAGGTTAAGAGGTCCATGGTCTCATACAGGAGTCCGGGATGCTGTGTCTGTCACAGAGCCCTACACACTCCAGAATGCTCTGGCCTCCGTTCGGCTTCCACTGTGAGCTTCCTACAAAATAGACACCAGCTCCCCACCGCCGGCAACAACACATGTGGCCCTTCAAATTCAGGGTCAGCTCTTCTCCCCAGTCTTATCAACACATGTTCTTTCAGAGCTCCTTGTCTGGAACATCTCTCCCTTTCTTCTTAACTTTTTAGACCCAGCCCTACAAGTCCCTTCCTCTGCAAAGTCTTCCCTGATCCCCACATGGAATCTGCCCCTCCATCATCTGTTTTCCCACAGTCTTCTGTTCACCTTCCTGTTATAGAAGTGGCTATAGAAGCAGACAAGTCAAGACACAGCAGGCTGCCCCGTGTTAGCCCACAGGGCCGCCACAGGGCTGGGACGCAGGGTGGCTCTGCAGTGTGGCCCCGCCCCCTTCTCCCAGAAGAGGCTGGGGGAAGGTTTATGGAGGGCGCCAACGTGAGGGTGCAGGAACTCTGGGATGTGTTGGGAAGTGACTTGAATTTTTATCCCCATTTGTTCCAGCCTGCCAAGGACACGGCCTAAGTCACCCTCCTTGTAATGAGAGAAGAGGAGGAAGAGCAGTGATTAAATGTGCTTGATAAAACTTCTCTATTTCGTGTTTGGAATAAAAAAGGGAAGGTTGAGATAAAGCAGTGCTTGTTTGGTGTCGTTCATGACACGGCTGAGCCGGGCAGGGCCAGTGTCTCTAATCCTCCCCTGGTGAGCACAGGGGTGGGGCAGCTGGCACCCAGCTGGGCACCCACCCAGTGGGACAGAGATTGGAAGGGCCTTTGCCACCAGTGGGAGGGTGGCAGTGGTGTCACAGAGGAGAAGCCAGAGCCAAGACGTGAGGGCAGAGCGGGAGGTTTATCAGGTGGGGAGGCCGTTCCAGGCAATGAACGGCATGTGCAGGGTGTGGGGCCCCCTGGCTGGAGCTCCATGCTGAGTAGGGGGGAACGTTCTGCCTCAGTTCTCCTCGGCCGGATCCCACCTCCAGAAGGCCGAGTCCCACCCTGTGCTCAGCACAGCGCTGGCCACTGCGGGGGAAACAGCAGACTGTTTGTTGTCCTGCTGGTGTGTCTTCCCCTGGGGGCCTGTTGACGCCCTGTGTGTGTCTGTCCGGGTGGCACGTGACATCTTCTGGAGGTGAGTGGGCTGCGGCCCCGTCTCGTTCTCACACTCTGCTTGTCCGATGAACTGGAAGGGCGGGGAGGGAGGGCAACCCCTCACAAGGCCACTGTCCTAGCCCATCACCTTTTCTATCTCAGAACAGGGCAGGCAGACGCAGAGGAGCAGGTCTAGGGAGGCGAGGGCAAGGATTGGGCCCCAAGCGCGGAGCCCAGAGTATCCCTGGGTCCTGTCCCCAGCTGAGCTGGCTGAGGCCTCCCGCGGCCTCGTTGGCCACCCAGCTTCTCTGCCTGAGGAGGCCTGGTGAGGACTTCACTTGTGTCCTTACCACGATCATCCTCTGCTGACCCTGGCAGAGGCCGTGCCAGGCCCCTGGTGCCCCGCCCTGGCACTTACCCCAAGGGCCTGTCTTCCCAGTGCTCGGGGCCCAGGAGAGAGAAGGGACCCACAGGGAGAGTCAACTAATGCACGTTTGGATACAACCCGAAGCTGGCTGCGAATCACATACACACTCAGAAAGTGTATGTGAGGGGCGCCTGGGTGGCGCAGTCGGTTAAGCGTCCGACTTCAGCCAGGTCACGATCTCGCGGTCCGTGAGTTCGAGCCCCGCATCAGGCTCTGGGCTGATGGCTCGGAGCCTGGAGCCTGTTTCCGATTCTGTGTCTCCCTCTCTCTCTGCCCCTCCCCCGTTCATGCTCTGTCTCTCTCTGTCCCAAAAATAAATAAAAAACGTTGAAAAAAAAATTAAAAAATAAAAATAAAAATAAAAAAAAAGAAAGTGTATGTGAAACGAGTGTCAGTCATACACAGGGTCTGGCCTGACTCAAATGTGTGCCATGGCCGGTTCCCCTTAACTTAGGTCCCAAAGCAGTGCTGCTCACTAGAAATATAATGTGAGATATATATGTAATTTAAAAATGTCTAGTAGTCACATTAAAAAAGTAAAAAAAAAAAAAAAAAGTTGGAATTAAATTTAATAATATATTTTACTTAATCCAACATATCTAAAATATTATCAATTCAGCATGTAATCAATATAAAAATTGTCAATGAGGTAGTTTGCCTTCTTTTCCTCATACTTTGCTTGAACTGCAGTGCATTCTGCACTTACAAGGCATTCCAGGTCAAACTGGCCACATAAGAGGACTCATTAGCGCATTAGCTACACGTTGTTAGGGGTTATTGTATCGGATGGCAGGTTGAGGAGTTGGGGGGGGGGGGGGGGCGAAGACACCAAAGTGTCTCAGTTTCTTCCTCTGTCAAATGGGGCTGATACATACAAAGGGGTAATACATACAAAGGGCTTAGCACAGCCCCTGGCTCAGAAAGCTTTCAGTAGTGTTCCTTCATGGAATGGTTGGTTGTTAGTATGCTTGAGGTGTTGGGTTTGAAAGGGACTCTGACCCTGGATAGGAATGAAGAGGGTGACATGGGAGAAACCACCCATGGGGTCTGCTCCAAGCCTCCCGGACTCCCCAATGGGCCCCATACTCTGAGCACCTCACTGTGGTTCCTTAGCTCTTCCACATGCCTGTGTGGACCATTGCCTTATGCCCTTAAGGGAAGCAACTTTTCTTGGAACTGGCTCCTGTGTCCATCTTGGTGGTGGACCTTTTGTCTCCTGGTCTCCACCCTCTGGCTCTCTAGGACTTTCAATGCCTCCATGGGTAATAAGCTACATGAGCAAAAATGCTAGGGGTGTGGGGCTACTTACTAAAAGAAAGCCCCCCCCCCACGTCCCAGGCACTGCCTCGCTAGCTGTTTTGAGTCATGGGATCCGGTTTATTTGTTCCAGATGACTTCTGTTGAGTGAACACCTACAGGTTGTGCCACGATAAGCCCAAGTCAGGTATTATTCCACAGTTGACAGGTGAGCAGAGTGAGACCCAGAGCGTCTGGGTGACCTGTGCAATCGCACAGTGACGGGCTGAGCCCAGAAGTCAGTTCTGATTCCTTTTTTGTCCCGCCAAGGAGAAAGGCTGAGAGTGTGGGGCAGGACCTCCTGCATATGGCCTCTCACCACTTGATTGCTTTCTCTCCTGTGCACATATGGGGCTCCTTAGGGGCTGTGGAAGTCATGGTGTCCAGGGCAGGGTGACCCAGCCTCACTCCTTGCTGTGGGCTGCACTTTGAATTGTCTGCCAGTCTTCAGCGACTGGTCAGAGTTGAGCTCAATATTAACCTGGTTATTGGTGGGACTGATCAGCTTCCTAGAGAAAGTGATTTCCCTGTCACAGCTCACCATGGGCTGCTGGGCCTAGAGGTGCCTCAACGAGGGGTCCTGGAAGGGACCTCTTTCTGGCCTAGCTATTGCCTTATCTCCTTGCCCCCCGGCCCTGCTTCTTTCTCTGGGTCCCAGGATTCATTCATTCATCCATCTAATACTTATTGAGCACCAACTATTTGCTAGTCACGTGGGACACACTGTGAGCAAAGTAAACATCGATCCTACACCCATGACCTTACAGTCCCAAGAGCATGAAACACTAATCAGACAATCACATGCACAAATGGGCAGTTACAACTGCATCCGGTATCTGGGGTGAAAGCAGGTATCACAGGGGGAGGTCCGGCCTGGTCTGAGCAGTTTAGTGGTGGGTCACGGCATTGGTATAAGTTTTTAAAAAAAATTTTTTTTAATGTTTGTTTATTTTTTAAGAGAGAGATAGAGTCGAGCAGGGGAGGGGCAGGGAGAGAGGGAGACACAGAATCCAAAGCAGGTTCATTCTGAGCTGTCAGCACAGAGCCCAACGATGGGCTCAAACCCAAGAACCATGAGATCATGACCTGAGCTGAAGTCAGAGGCTTAACCGACTGAGCCACCCAGGTGCCCTAAGCATTGGTGTAAGTTTTAAAGCCCCAGGTGAGGTGAAGGTGCAACCAGGCCTCAGAAGTGCCAGGGGGTGAGGCAGAGTATGGGGCGGGGATGTGCTTTGGATTCTGAACTTGGGGGTGCTCTCTGTGGTTTTCTGCCTGTATGACTGGATGTGGGACATTTTGATATGACCTCATCAAGATGCAAAAATTGCTGTTTTAATTTCCAAATAACACACCCAGCAGTTATTGTTAACCCTCATTTATTTATTTATATTTATTTATTTTTATTTTTTTAATGTTTAGTTTTTGAGAGAGAGAGAGAGCAGGGGAGGGCAGAGAGAGAGGGGGACAGAAGATCTGAAGCGGGCTCTGGGCTGACATGGGGTCATATGGGGTTTGAACTCATGAACTGTGAGATCATGACCTGAGCCAACGTCAGATGCTTCCGAGTTGAGCCACCCAGGTGCCCCGACCCTCATTTTTTTTTAACTTAAATGGTCCCTGAGCTTCACTTGAGGGTCTGGGATGGGAGGCAGCTGAGGGAGTGGGGGAGGATGTCTGTTTTCACAAAGCGCTTGGTAAATGGTGAATAAGTTGAAAGCATAACATCAAAATGTTTAAAAATATTAATTTTTGAAATAGTAATATATTCACATGGTTAAAGAAAAGATTGAGAGTGAAAATTCTCCCTCCTACCTCTGTCACCCTCTGTGCCGTTCCTGTCTCCCACCTTTAATAGGCAATCAGTTTTGTTTCTTTTGTTAATTTTAGCTTCTCTTGAAAACACAAGTAAATTAAAAAAATACCCCCCCCTTTTATATGAAAAGTAGCATATTATAAACACTGTTCTGCACTTTCCTCGCTATATATTTTGGAGTTCTTTCTGTATCAGGACATAAAGAGCTTCTTCTTTCTTATTTTTTTTTTCCAAACAGCTGTGCAGCGCCTCATTGAGTGGATGTATGATAACGTCATAATTTACTTAGCCAGGCCCTATTGATGAACATTTGGCCGTTTCCCATCTTTTTCTGCTGTAACAAATTATGCTGCGGTGAATAACCATGTCAGTACAATGTTTGCAAGTCCGTGTGTAGGGTAAATTCCCAGAAGTGAGATTACTGGTGAGGGGGTGCATGCATTTGTAACTCTGATCAATGTTGCCACATTGCCCTTCAAGGGGGCTTTTCCATAAGCGATGTGTGAGGGACCTTATTTCTCCACGGGCTCCCAATAGAGCGGAGAGTTAAACTCTTGGCTTTTGGCCAACTTGCTAGATAAACGGTATTATCTCAAAGAAGTTTTCCCTCACATTTTTCTTACTATGAATCAGGTTGAGCATCTTTTCATATATTGAAGGGCCATTTCTGTTTCCTTTTCTATGAACTGTCTGCTCATTCCCATTTGTGTTCTTGTCTTTCCTTGGCAGTATGTAAGATTTTGCACATTTTAGAGAGATTAGCCCTCTCTCTGTGATATGGGTTATAAATATTTTCTCCCAGATTTTTTTTGCTTTTTTCCATGCAGAAGTTTTAATGTGTATTAGTCAAACTGATCTGTCTTGTCTTTTATGACTTCTGGAATTTTGAGTCTTGGTTAGAGATGTCTACCCCTGGCTTAGACATTTCTTTTTTCTTTGAGTTTAGGATTTCATATTTTTTCACT